TATGAAATCTCAATTCTCCCAAATGGTTTGGGAGTGAGTTCAGCACTCAGGTCCCTAGGGGGCTTGGTTCCCAAGGAGATTAATCCCACTTGCTCAGCATTAGGTATCACTGGGGCAAAAATCTCTAGTTTGAAGCTCTGCAGAGAGGCCCGAGTGCAGCAAAACCCGTCCCTGTGCCCCATAGGAAGTGAAATGTATTAGTGTCAAAGTTACTCAAGTGAGCCTGCTCACTCAGGGGGTAGGAATGGAGCTGACAGCCCCTGCAACGCTGGCCACTGACTTTGCTGAAAGAAATCCTATTCCAGATAGAACTCTTCCATCAAATAAAACATCACGAAGGAAAGAAACTGAGATCACACGTCAGGGTTTTTCATGTACAGTTTAGCTGGAAATTAGAGGACATCTATTGCAGGGTTGCTAAGGATTTATTTTTGTCTATAGCAACAGAATTATTTCAAACAGAAGCTGTTCTTTGTTGCCTTGTTATCTATAGTTTTCCACGAACTCCATTGTTTTTGTAGGACCAGTTCTTCTGCGCAGAATGTTTTCAGGCAAATTCCTTATTTTCTTGGGAGATACCACTATATTACTAAAGTCAGCTTGTATGCTAGATGTCTATACAGACTTCCACCTGTCCTCTGGGGACTCGCCCATTGCCTATTTTATTTTCTATTTACTATTATTGAGACATGTATGCTTCTAAAAGAGCTTGTCTATCACGATTTCTTCCCTTTATATCCCCAGTACTAGCATAGCACTGGACACACTGTTGGTATCTTTATCTTAGTATTGAATGAATAAATGATGGGAATGAATATTTATATCATCAGTTTTCAGAATAAAATGATAATCAATGTTGTGAATTAAGTTGTGGAACTACGAAGCCATAATAATCTTCTACTTGCGGATGCAGCTTTATGGTTGACAAAGAACTCCCACTTTCATTATTTTATCAATTGCCACAATAGTCAGACTTATGTCATTAATTTTATTTTTCAGATGCAGCACTGGGTTACAAAGGGTTAACAAACTTTTCTTTTTCTCTTTTTGTTTTTTGGACCACACCCGGTGACGCTCAGGAATTAGTCCTTGCTCTGCACTCTGGGTGGTGCTCAAGGGATCATATGTGATTCCAGACATCTAACCAAGGCTGTACTATCTCTCTGGTCCTGGGTCAATAAGCTTTTCTATGTTCAAAATGGATAGGTAAAAAAGGCAAAGATTGGATATCTTTGTAGTCTCAGTATCCAGCTCTAAATTTAGGATTCCTGATATTAATTACACTTGCTTTACTTAAGTTTCTACAGCCCTCAAGTATTGGGTCATTCTTTAAAAATAATTACTGAAAAATATGGATATTTATTACTCTGCTAGATCATATCACAACAACTTGGAGAGATTGAAATGATCTCTTGAGCAGATGAAAACAAAGCAGAACAAACAGTGGTATTGTTTGTGTGTTATGTAACTCTACTCACAGTATATCTATCTCCATTTTCCAGAAGAAGGAAGTGAGCCTCAGGTAGACGAACAGATATGTTCAATGGTGCTCTCTCCTATCAAGAAGAAGACCAGAATTTGAACCTGGTCTCACAGACGCTGACTCAGCTTTGATGTTTAGCATGCCTATGACGTATGTATGCTTAGCATGCCTATGACGTAAGTATGCTTAGACTGTCCATGATGTCTATGATGAAATGAGAAAACTACTACAGATGAATACTTTCATAATTATTTCTCATTTCTATAGTGACGTTAGGACTTAGTGAACTCTGGAAATTAAAAAAAAGATTTTTCAGATTGAAAAGATTAATTAAATGTAGTTTTATGCAATCCATGCCTAGGGATACTGTTGAGAGAAGGTAAAAAGCAGAATTCATATACTTGGGTGCAAAATGGAGGTCTATGGGCCAGTCTCTTGGGAAAGGGGAAGTGGAGGGGAGGTGACATACATAGCTGTGGAGTGAGAAATAACCCAGCAATAGGTTCACTTGGAAAGTTGAGAAATGTCCCCATAATAAAGGAGTCAGAAAAATGTCACTGTAATACAGTGAGTACGGTCCAGATCACATCCTGGGTGTTACCTAAATGGAAGATACATAATAACTGAGTTACTTGGAAAATCCAAGTAAGGTAAAAGGTAAAGGTAAAGGCCCTCCTGTTGATCGTCGATTTGCTCGAGCGGGCCCAGTACTGTGTCTGGCATATCGAACACTCTTGGTAGCTTGCTGGGCTCTCCGAGAGGGGCGGAGGAATCGAACTCGGGTCGGCCATGTTGGCCGCTTGTAAGGCGAACACCCTACCGCTGTGCTATTGCTCCAGCCCAAGTAAAAAGTTTAATTCAGCAATGTCAGTTTGAGAAGAATCTAGTTCATCTTCCCAATGAGGAGAGTCAGCAGGCTTTCTTCAGTATGAGTGTACTTTAAGGATGCTCAAAGATGGGTCCTTCCTACCACATCATGGAAAGGAAGGCTAACAGATAAGTTTCTCAAGAGATAGGATCTACATTCCTTCTTGTAGACTTCACCTAAATTATAATTACTTAGAGAGCACTCTATCTCACACAAAATTCACATGTGAAACTTCACTGGATCTGTGTGAACACCTTATCACAGAGAAGGCATGTAAAGGAATGCATGTCTTACCTTTATATGTTTTAGACAAAGGCAAATAGTCTCAAAGGCTATGGAGTAGCAAACAAATATACATTGCAGAAAATATTTCCTGCAAATATCACCAGTACACTGTGGGGTGGGTAATCTTGCCTGTGTTTAGCATGGGTAAGCCAGGCAAAGAATGCTCTCTAATGGTTGACAGATTTGTCCAAAGCACGTACTTATCCAACTCATTCACAGAGGTATCAAGTGATGGGGTTAGGAGTACAAATCAAGAGGCTGGAGCAAGAGAATAGCAGGTAGTGCATTTGCCTTGCACGCAGCTGACCCGAGTTCAATCCGAGGCATCCCATATGGTCCCCAAGCACTGCCAGGAGTAATTCCTGAGTGCAGAGCCAGGAGAAACTACTGAACATTGCCAGGGGTGCCTCCCCCCCCAAAAAAAAGAGCAGAACTCAAGTCTTCTCTAATCTTTGTTCATGATCTACCCACTGCTCACTTCCTCTACTCCATGAGCATTGCCCAGGTGAGACTGGGTCTAAGTGGACTCATGGTGATGGTTGAAATACGACAGAAGTTGCAGAAGGACAGACAAAACGGCAACATATTTGATCTATTCAAATGGTAGAGGAGAGACTCTAACCCACATTTTTTTTTCTAAAAAAAAAATAGTGGAATGGGTAAAACACTTGCTTTGCTCTTGGCCAAGGTCAACCAGGGTTCAATCCTGGCCACCACATCTGATCTGTTCAGCACTGTCAGCACTGAGCACAGAGCCGGGAGTAAGTCTTGAGCACTACTTGGTGTGGCAAGTAAACCAAAAGAAGCACCAGCAGACATAGGGTGAAGCTAATCATTATTTTTTCGATCTGAGATTTCTGTGGAAACTCGCCTTAGAATATTAAGACTAGAGCAACTGCTGGAAGTGATACCAATGGCCAAATCAGGTGGTGTTCTGGGTACTGCCTGCTGGTACTAGACATGAAACCTGGGCCCCTAGACATGCAAAGCCTGTATTTCAGCACTTGGAGCTGTCTCTCATCCCATTCTGTAGACAATGAAACAGAAGCCAAGGCAAATATAGCTTATGACAAAGACCAAGACCTGCATCAAGCGGGGCTGCATGGGGCCGGAGTGATAGCACAGCAGGTAGGGCATTTGCCTTGCATGCGGCCAACCCAGGTTCGATCCCCAGCATCCCATCTGGTCCCCCTGCACCGCCAGGTGTTATTCATGAGTGAAGATCCAGGAGTAACTCCTGAGCATCGCTGGGTGTCACCCAAAAAGCAAAAAAAAAAAAAAAAAAAAAAAAAAAAAAGAGGAGCCGTATGCTACCACCTAGCCTTCCTGGTCTCAGTGTCTTTGTTCATTAGACGGCGACAGAGACATGAACTTCATAGGGTGATTGTTCAAAGCATAAAGCAGATCCTGCCTGCGAAGTGCCTGGCACAGAAAACGCCCAGTGGCTATTGAAAGATAAAGCCTCAGTTTCCCCTTGCCAATTGCTGTGATGGGCTCCATTTTACTGTCTCCATCCAACATTTTAAATGTTCCTGGAAAAGTTCCGGGCTCTTTCTGAGAATAGAAAGTTAACAATTTCCCAAGATCCGTAGATTCTGCCCCAGACCTTAGGCAGGAAACAAAAGAGGCAAGGGGCAACCCCGAGACAAAGAGAAAACTTAAAAGCCTAAAATAGCCAGACCACTCTTGCAAAATGCTCGCGTTCCCTATTATATATGCTTATTTGGTAACACAAAGACCCAATTTTCCTACCAAAAAAAAAAAAACTTACAAAAAGGCAAAAGAGCCATTCCAAACTAAGTTCTTCCCTGCCTGGGGGGAGTTTCTTCCCCTTCTGCTATTCCAATAAACTCTACCTTTCCCACCCGGAATCTCAGCAACTCTGCTCTTGGGTATTTTTGATCGTTGTAGAATTGGAACCCAAGCACAAAAATGTGTAAGTCTGCATGCAACTGTACCTCATGATGTCTCACTATTAAAAGAAAAATTTTAATTAAAAAAAAATCTCAAAAAAAAAAAACAAACCGAAGAACCGGGGAACGGGGGACTAAGGCTGAGACCCGCAGGCCCCGTCCCTGCCTCGCCACGACCACTGTCCACGCCGGGACCGGACCCTCCTCCGCGCGCCCCGCGCGATGCTCGCTGGCTCGCGCGCTCGCTCGCCCCTCCCTGCCCTGCCGGGCTGCAGCTGTTGGGGACCCCCGAGTCCCCCTTCCCGGGAGGCTAAGGGTTAAGGCGCGGGGCCGCCCCGCCCCCGCCCCGCCCCCGCCCCCGGCCGGCGCCTACAAGAGCGGCCGAGCCGCGCGCGGGGCCGCGCCGCCAGCCGGCCCGGGCCGAGCCGAGCCGAGCCGAGCCGCCGCCGCGATGACGGTGCAGGCGCTGCCCCGCGCGGCCCCGTTCGCGCCCCTGGGCCTGGGCCTGGGCCTGGGCCCGGCCGCCGCCGCGCTGGGCTGCGCCTTCGAGGACGACGCGCCGCCGGCGGGGCCCGAGGGCGGCGGCGAGGTGCGCGAGGCCACCCGCGAGCTGCTCAGCTTCATGGACTCGGCGTCCAGCAACATCAAGCTGGCGCTGGACAAGCCGGGCAAGTCCAAGCGCAAGGTGAACCACCGCAAGTACCTGCAGAAGCAGATCAAGCGCTGCGGCGGCCTCGTGGGCGCCGCGGCCCCGGGTCCGCCCGCGCCCGCGCCCGCGCCCGCGCCCGCGCCGGCCGCCGACCCGGCCGTCGTCAAGCGTCCGCCGCTGGCCCTCGGGGCCGGGTCCGGGTCCGGGTCCGGGGCGGCGGGCCGGGCCGGGCCGCGGCGGGACGCGGCGCAGGCGGCGGCCAGCAGCCTGCAGAGCCGCAGCCTGGCCGCGCTCTTCGCGTCGCTGCGGCCCGGGCGCGCGGAGCCGGCGGGCGGCGGCGCGTGCGGGGCGGGCGGCGCGCCGGGCGCGGGGAAGGTGCCGCTGCGCGCCCGCAACCTGCCGCCGTCCTTCTTCACCGAGCCCTCGCCCGGCCCGGGGCCCGGCGCGCCCGCGGGGGACCTGCTGGAGCTGCTGGGCGCCGACTTCGCCGCGGCCGGCCCCGACGCGGCCGTCCTGCTGGAGCCGCTCGACGCCTTCGCGCCCGCGCCCGGCCTCTTCGCGCCCGCGCCCGCGCCCGCCGCGAGCCTGGCCTACCCCGCGCCCGCCGAGGAGGACGCCGCCGCCTTCGCCGCCGCCTGCTTCCCGGACTGCGCCCTGCCCGCGCCGCCCCCCGCCTACGAGTGCGGCGCCTACGGGGGGCTCTGGAGGCCCGAGCCCGCCTGGGACGGGGCCCCCGCGGCCGCGCGCCGGGACTGAGCGCCGGGACTGATGCGCCCGGACCGAGCGCGGGACTGAGCGCCGGGCGGCCGCCCCCCCCCCCGCCGCGGCGTCGAGGACCGGGGGTCCCGGCGGAGATCCTCGCCCAAGCCGACCGGGGTCCGGGGCTCGGGAATGCGGTTGGGGTGGCGGTCCGGTCCGGACTGCGTGGCCGCTCGCCCCGGCTCCAGCTGGGCCGCCCCCGGTCAGCGTGTCCACCAGGGCCGTCGTCCGTTCCCAGCCTCGCCCTCCGAGCGCGTCGTGGATTAAAGCCTGTCCTGAAAAAGTACCGTGCCCAGAGATGTTCTGGGGTCTTGTCTTCCTTACGGGACGGGTTTTTCCGTGTGGTCGCTTGCCTTTTTGTGCTGAGTGGCCCACTGCTGCGCATCCCCCCAGCCCCAGCCCCCGGCCAGTGAGTGGACCGCTGCTGAAACCCCCACCCCAAAGTCCCCGGCCAGTGAGTGGACCTCTGCTGAAACCCCCCACCCCAAAGTCCCCGGCCAGTGAGTGGACCTCTGCTGAAACCCCCACCCCAAAGTCCCCGGCCAGTGAGTGGCCCTCTGCTGGAAACCCTTTCTCCCCCTCATCTCTTTCCCTCCAGCCCAGGCCCCCTTTACTTAAAGTCTGACTTTCTTTTAGTGTGTTTCTGCGCTCTCTCTCTCTCTCTCTCTCTCTCTCTCTCTCTCTCTCTCTCCCTCCCTCCCTCCCTCCCTCCCTCCCTCTCCCTCTCCCTTTCCCTCTCCCTCTCTCCACTGCTTACTTTCCCTCCCCTTCGTTTTTTTCTCCTTTCAGCTTTTCTTGCAAGTTCAATGCAGATGCCCTAAATTTGGCAAATGGAGACCTATTTGCCAGTCCAGAAGGTGGAAAACCTCCACTTCTCATCTGCACAGCGTGCTTGCTAGGTCACTCGGAAGGAGAAATTCATAAAGAGCCTTGAAGTCACTTTGGTGCTCGACTCGTTCTGTGGGGACGTCTTCCATGCATTATAAATGATTTCTAAGCGTGGAAGCTTCTTGGCTCATTACGTTGCCTACCAACTGCCAGTTCCCTTACCAGCTCTGCACCCTCTCTTGTCTTTTCTCCTCTGATCTCATACGCACTCCCGTTCCGCCTACCAGCGCCTCCTCACCCTAGGAATAGTCTCACCAACCGCACTCCCCAGCGAAGGGGATAGTAAGGAGTGAAGTTTGCAGAGGAGTTTGTTCTCTGACAGGTAGTTTTGATAAAAGGAAACTGGGCAAGGGAAAGAGAAATTAAGCATGAGCTCTGAAAGATAAGTCAAAGAAATGCTTTAACTAGTCTCAAATGTGGAAAGAGTGCATGTGGATGACATGCTTAGCATAGTTCTGGGACATAGGGGGACAGGGCTGGTGGGAGGAGTAGTTGAAGAAGGGGCCATTGTGCAGACTGAATACGTGTGTGTGGGTGTGTGTGTGTGTGGGAGATTACCACAAAGCCATCCACATTACCACATTACCACAAAGAAATGATGCATCATCTACTATGTTGCAGACAGCCAACACCTGATATGCTATCTGTTTGTGAGAAAGTCAAACCCCAGCATAGCGGTAAAAGATTATGAAATTCCAGTTGATGTACAAATCAAAAGTGCTGCTATTTTCTGAAAGGCGTCTGTGAAAAAAAGGGCTATCAGCCCTGGCAAAGAGCATTAAACACTATCACTGAATCTCCTTTTCAATAAAAACTTTCTTATGCAAACACCATGGGAAATAGAGCAAGGAGTCTCCTTACCAATCAAAAGAACTCTTGCAACTTCAGAAACCTGTTGTCTATTGAATGTCTTTCAGAATGGTGAAAAGTGATGGATTACCTTATGTTAGCAGAAATATTCAACAATCATTTATCTAAACTACTTTATTGTGAGCACAATCCAGGATGAAGTTGCGCAGTAGGAAAACATTAATAATCCTGTGACAATTACTAAGGCTATCATGTCATGTCAGTGTCTATTTCTTAATTTTTCTCTCCTTTACTTTACCTAATAAAGTAAGGTATCTTTCTCCCAGCCCTTTTCTTGCGACATGCTTCACCAATGATACCACCAAGCTGCGTGGTTCCATATGCCAGCATGGAGGTCAGCACCCACTCACTGAGCCTCCAAGCACTCTGGGAGATGAATGCTCTTCTAAGTCCTATATGGAAAAGAAGCTCAAACAGACTAGCTGAAATCAAGCAATGGATGTAAGACCTGGATCTCCAAGGGGCCTGGACACTGGAAGCTGCTAATGCTGAACTGCTTGGCCCTTCTTGGTGAAGCTCTGTTCTCTTGCTGCCTCTGTTCAATGATACCCCTAGTTATCCTACTAGCAGAAGTTTTTCATCCTCACCACTATTAATATCTTGGGAGTGATGTGCTGTGAGGCTATCCTATACGCAATAGGATATTTATCTGTATCCCTGACCTCTTCGCCTTAGATATCAATAATATTTCCTTGACGGTGACGATCAAAATCATGTTCTGGTCTTTCCTGATTGTAGAGGGGCTGGGGCGGAGAGGCTAACCTGTGGTCAGGTGAAAACTACTATGCTAGGACACATTCATAAGTAGCGGCGGTGGGGTGCCTGGTATGTTCACATACGTAATCTCATTTCATTCCTTACAAAGGCCAGTGCTTAGGAATTGTTATTAACCTCATTGTTATATGTGAATACACTGAGGGGCAAGGATCGGATCTATCAGTTTAGGTCCATCTCACCTCAGCTAATTTAACAGCCACAGACCAGTTACTAGCTGTCCTGGAAGGCAGTCTCCCTACTGCAGGAATGGATCGCAATCATCTAAAGAAGGCCATTGTCACAAGAAGTCAGTTGTGGGTTATGTTTACGTGCCCATCAAGAGAGAGGACATTGTGTCAGGCAGCACCAGGTTGCCAAGGCTTGGAAATTTGTCAAGATTCCAAACCATTGGGGGCAGAAGAGAGTTCAGTGGGCAGGGAGCTTGCCTTGCATGTGGCTAACCTGGGTTAAATTACTCATATCTCATGATCCCCTGAGTACCACTAGGAGTCATTTCTGAGTGTAGAGGCAGGAGTAAGCCCTGAGCACTGCTGTGTGTTGCACCCTCCCCCCAAATAAATTCTAAACCATTATCCAGGATATAAACAATGAATTTTTGTCCTCCACATAGCCTCCACCCCCTAGTCCCCATTTCTGAATTCTCTACACTTCCAGTCAGAGCATGTATGTATGTGACTCTTCACTCCCTAAATGCAGCAGAAGTGTCCATTAGTGACAGTCCTGGAGAGACTGGAGGGATTACAGCCTGTTAAGAAGCATTTTTCTTTGTCATTTATGCATGCAGTTGGCTGTAGAGATTTTAAGTTCATAGATAATTATTTTTCAAGACCCCCCAAATGACTAAATATGGGATGACTTTGGGTTGGCTGGGAATCCTTAACTAGTCAGTAATGATAATGTATGCTGCAAATACCTGATTCCCCCTCCTTAGCTGGGCATTTTCTGGTGCCTAAAATGTGTTTTAATGTCTTGCATCTTCTAAGTGGCTCTTCCAGGCCTTTGTTCATCGCTGGTCAAGTCCACCCAACACCTCTCCTCACTCTTACATCCGCCAAGGGGGAGAGCACCTGCCATAGTCCCTTTCATTCCTGTCTCCACTTCCGCATCTGTGTCCTCTCGGGCAGGCAGGACCTGCTCCTGCCTTCCTTCCAGCAACCTGCCTCTCTTCATTCCTGACGAGAAAATGCTGCCCCATCAACTATCCTTTGTCTCCTCTATCTCTGCTGCTCACACCACATGCCTCCACATTTTCCCCTCTCATCCTGGAAATAAACTTTTAGTATGGGTTGAAATCAAGGGAAAAAAGAAACAAAGAAACCAAAAGCCCTCTTAACCTTATTTTCTTTGTTGAACATTATTTTCTCTTTAGAATTAAATCTCTCTGAGAAAGGATTACACTTTTAGTCTCCATGTCACCTGCTTTCTTGAAGGGAGGTGGTGGTTGATGGTTTGGGCAGTACCCAACTGGTACTCCTAGCTCTGTGCATAGGGATCAGAGAGCTGCTGTGCCCTTCCCTTTCTCGGGGAAACTTAGTTGTGGCAAGAATTACGTATGTGGCAATAAGAGCTCTACTGGCAATTTAATCAAACTAGAAGTTACTCTTCTTAGAGCAGTGCATTTGGTGGCAGGCATAGAGGATATTGTGACATGCTTTCAATCATGAGCTCTGTCCACTGAATAGAATCATAACTTCCCTCTGTGAGATCATGCTATCTGTAGCACTGTCCTCCCATTGTTCATTGATTAGCTCAAACAGGCACAGTAACGTCTCACAACAAATTGTGAGACTTGTTACTGTTTTTGGCATATCGAATACATCATGGGTAGCTTGCCAGGCTTTGCCGTGCAGGCAAAGTACTCTTGGTAGCTTTCTGGGCTCTCTGAGAGGGGTGGAGGAATCAAACCCGGGTCAGCCATGTGAAAGGCAAATGCCCTACCCCCTGTGCTAGCACTCCAGCCCCATGGTAACTAGAAACCCTTATATCAATGCGTATAAAATTGAGCTGGATAGTAAGTTAATATATGCATGAAATATAGGAGAGAAGACAAAATATAGGAAACCACTGTAAAAGATGTCACAAAGTACTAAACAATTCCAAATAAATGGGAAAGGCATTTTAAAAAAAATTTTGGCTAGAGAGAGAACTCAACGGGTTGAACATGTGTTTTGCATGAAGAAGACCCAAGTGTGACCCTCAGCAACACATGGACCCCTCAAGCACCACTAGAAGCTACTCGAGCACAGAGTGGGAAGCAGACCCTGACCACCATTGGGTCTGACTTCAAACAAATAAATGAAAAATAGCAACAACAACACCACAACATCAAAAACTGATGTCCTTAGAAACACATTTTCTTCTGTTTTGGGGGGAAGTACCCTATGAGGTTCAGGGATTACTCCTGACTCTGCATTCAGGGGTCACTTTTGGTGGGGTTCTGGGACCATATGTGGTGCCAGGGA